CCCCTTCCTGGCTTTTGGCAGCAGCTATGGAAACACCTTGGCTGACCTCCAGCAGCCACCTTGAGCCCTGAGGAGAAAGTGATCCTGACCCAGAGCCGCTGTCCACCACCAGGTGCTGGGGGCGGGGAAATGCCTGTTGTCTCTCTGACAGACTTCATATTAATACAAAAGCATCTGAAGACATAAATAACCCCAACAGGGACCTTCCCCTCCAGGTCCCCTCCTCTACCCTGGGGAACCACATAGCAGGAAGTAGAAATCATCCCCCTGCGACCAGCCAGTGGCACCCAGTAGGTGTCCAAGCAGGAGAAACTGACTGTGGACCAAGTCCTTTTAGTCATATTCAGAGAAAATAGCTTGGGGAGAGAGCTCAGAGCAGGTCAGCAGGGAGGCAGGGTCATGCCTAAGGGGAGGCTGATAAGAGACAAGATCCAAGAGGACGTTTTGCTCAATTATGTTCCTAAAAGCAAGATTCCCCAGTGGTCTGGAGGGGCAGGGCCTTCAGCCTTATCCCCAGGCAGGTCCCTGTGTAAACCGGACCCTGCTTGATTCTGTCTCTGAACTCAGCCTTCCTTGTTCTATTTTCCCTCTTGGAGGTTTGCCCCTTTGTAGAGACTCTGCAGCTGCTCTGCCCTGACCAGAAGTGGGTCCTTCTAGGCCATGTGCACAGGGAACTTCTTCTTCTTCTGCTGGGCTCCTGTGTCAGGTGCAGCCTGTGCAACTGTGGGGCTGAGGAGGGAGCGCCTCCTAATACCACCCGCAGACAGTCTGGACAGCACAGCGCAGCAGCACCACGAGGCAGCAGGGAAGGTTCCAGAGCGCTGTGGGAAGGGCTCAGGCCTGCAAGACAAAGGGGTTGATCCCCTAACAGGCAGTACCCTCAGGAAGCCCGTCCAAGTGGCCCCCTTGGCCCTTTCTGTCCTGCAAATATTGCCACCGGCTGGCACGTACCTGCCCAACACAAACCCACCTGGCACCGGGACTGCTCCCACACGTGTCCTCTGCCCGCACAGGTGGGTGCCAGGATGCTCATTAGCCTCCCTGAGACACCCCTCAGCCCAGGCTGTACAGGGGCCCAGTATCCCAGGTGCTTGCAGGGGCCCATGGCGCCTGAGGTGCCCCTGAGCCCTGAGCACCCAGAGACTCTCAACACTTTATTCCACCAGCAGCAGAAACACCAAAGCAACCAGTCCTGGGGTCGCCCCCGACACCCAGCTCTATGAGGGCGTACACCTCACCTGTGTCAGGGTCCCTACTAGATAGTGACAAGGGTGGGCGCACCTGAGGGAGGAGGCATTATCAAGGGACTCACCCACCTTTGAACCCCACTCCTCACTGGGGTGGAGACCATCTCAGATGACAGGGTCCCCCCAGGAGTTCACTGCTGGACGTGCCCCGGCCTCCTCCCCAGAGATGACACCCAGGACAGACAGGTCCACACAACACCGACCTTCCTGCACCCCAGAGGGAGAAGCAGCCACTACGGGACCCACTTGTTAGAATACACGCCCTGGTCTCTCCATCGCTCATCTACCTCCAGGCCTGGAGCCTTCAGCTGGGGCGATGCTTACAGCCTGCATGAGGCTGCTGCTCTGTATTATTACGGGATGGGCTGCTCTCACCCTGCTAGATGGGCGCTGCTGGTCAGGACCTGCCCCTGATGGACCCGACCTGCTCCCCAGGTTGTGGAGGCCCCACCATGACGGGGCCCTGTGTCTCAGGGGACGGCAGGGGACGCCCCTGACATTGGGTATTTTAATTCAGCCAAGGGCCTGGTTTCAGCTGATTGTCCAGGCATGTGCTACACAGACAGCTGTGGGGAATAATCACACTCCTGTCGCGGGACTAGATGAGACCCAGCCCCTACCTTCCAAGTCCTTTTATATTCCAGATCTTAAGGCTTTTGGATAAACTCCTTTGGTCCACTTATTTTCCTTCTTTTAAATTTATTCTATTCCCAAGCTTATGCTTTAAATTCACTAAGAAAGAATGAATTCCAAAAATCTAACACCACCCTCAACCCCAATAAAGCGGAGCCTTAGGGGCTCCCAGCTAACACCTGTGTGGCCCCAGGCCTATTCTGTCCCCTCAGGGTCTGTGAGGAATAAACTTGCTGTTTGTAGTTTCCTGAAGGTTCTTGCTGGGGGTGACTTAAATCCTCACAAGTACCTCAAGGGCTGGTCCAGGCACAGCACTGGTTCTGAAAGGGGGTGTCTGGGGGGATGGGAAGGGATACTCATGGGAGGCACGGGTGAGAACCCCAGCTAAGACTTCCATGAAACAAGAACCTAGAGAATCAAATATTTTGGAATTAAACAAGAAGCTCTAAATAAGCTGTAGACAAGTAGAAATGAGAAAGCACATTAAAGTGAAGGACTTTAAAATCCTGCTGGTCAGGGCCTCCCTGGTGGCACAGGGGGTTAAGCACAGCGCTGTGAAAAGCTGTCTGCAGCCTCTGCAGCGCAAGCTCAATCCCCAGCTGGCCAGGGAGCTACCCAGACGGTGCAGCAGACCTCTCCTGGCTCGCCTGCTGCGCCCCTCAGCAGTGTGTTTCAGTCAGTCTGTATGTTCTGCTCCCCACTCTGTCTCTGGTCAATCCTCTCACCATCCCCCTCCCCGCACCTCTGGCCTGTACCCCAGCTTTTGTATGCATGATTAAATAAATATTTTTTTAAAAATCCTGCTGATCAAAATGAGTGGAGAGCTGCTAACTCAGGAAGGATTGATATACATCATTGCTTTATGGGCAAAAGTATGAAATCAGTGGCCAAATTTTTCTAGCTTAGAAAGGTATAAATATGATCCAGGAAACATCAGAGAGTAAAGACAGATCTATTAAAGTTTAGAGTAGAAATCCATGAAATAAAAAACTCGAGAAATTTCTTCAAAAGACAAACCAGACTTTGTGTGGACTGGGTACAGGAATGTGTGGGATTGGGGGCAAGAATGTAAACTGTTCCTACCGACCTAAAGCCTAAACTAACACTGCCCTGTTGTCCAGCATGTTCCAAGGCTGTGCTCCTTGTCCACCTGCCAGCAGGTTCCTGAAGGACTCAAGAGACTCACCCCAGCTGTCCCTGACCTGAGAGAAGCTTCTTGGGTTCACACTGCCCCCTCGTGGCTACAGATGAAACAACACGTCTCCTTCTGGCCCCTCTGTCCACCCACCCAGGGAGGCTGGGCCTGCTCCTCCTGAGAGGCCACTGTGTTCTCACTCCAGCTCATGGGCTCTTACCCTGAGTGGCATCTGAATTACCCAGAAGCTGCTTTCAAACCGCGCTGGGCCTCACTTTCCTAGTGTCTGAGCCAGGTGTGGGGTGAGGAGGATAATTTACCTTGCTAAGAAGTCGCTGTTTCTTCAGGGGTTGAGGATCCCAGCTTGAGAACCCCTGCCCGGGGTAAGTGCTCTGCTTTGTGGGTGCTGAGGGACCAGCTCCTGCCCCGGAAGCCAATGATCAATTTGCAGAGGGTCCTGTCAGCAGGTGCCTCCCATGGAGGGGAATGAGTTTCTAACTGAAAGCAATTCAATTGGGCGTGGCTGCAAGAAGGCAGGCACATGAACTCAATTATGGGCCAAGGGGGCCTGATTCCCATGTGGGGTACACAGAATGCCAGGTTGTTTATTGAGGCACCAATAGTACTGGTTTGCGACCTCCATTTCCTTGTATTCAGTGCACAGACTAGGGTCCCCGTGAGGCACCTCTATTCTGCCCCAGGGCTGTCAGGCCCCAGGAACCTAGTCTCACTCTGCAGGCCCTGCCCCTCTTTCTGGTATCTGTGCCCACCTGGCATGCAGCACAGTGCTCCATCCCACCCCACCCCTGCCTTAGGAGAGGAGCCCCCACTTGCTCAGCCTCCCTCCTGCCCTGGGGGATGGGGCATCTTCGCGGGGCCCCTGGCTCAGCCCCTGGGGGCCTACTGCCTCCCACAGGGCTGGCTCATCCATGCCCACCTGAGCCCCATCACCCTTCTTGTGGATCCTGCATGGGCTCTGCCTTTCTCCCTCCCTGGGGGAGCCCCCTACTCTGCCTGCTTCTAGGGGCTGCTCCGGCCCTGCTCCTAAATCCTCAGTTCTCCTAAGTCCACTGTCATGTTCCACTCTCCATCCACCTGCAGCCTCCAGCCCACTCACCTGGTCCTGCCCACCAGCTGTTAGGCCCCCCATCTTCCTTGGGATGTATACAGGTCCCTCTTATTGGAGGTTCAGTACTATTTGGGGCTCCAGTGTTCACTGTGGGTCTGAAAATGTATCCCTCTGGATTCAGTCTGTGTCCTCACATGGTTGTGTCGGGGTGAATGTATGGCTTGTCCCCCATCCCTTCTAACCAGGCCCGACTTGGGCAGAGCAGCCCTGTCTCAGTACAGGCCGGGCAGTGGGCGCTGGGAGGCAGGCAGCCCTCCATGAACCTCTCCATTCTTTCTCTGTCCTCTCTCTGTTGTTCTCCCTCGCCTTGTCTTAGGGTCTCACCTTCTCTGTCCCCGCTGTCACTGCTTTTATCCCCCATCTAGGCTCAGGTGTGCACAGACGCATGCCCGCATCCTGGTGCCCACACTCCCAGTCACCTTCTGCATTGACACGATCAAGGCCGCAGGTGATAGCCACAGAGGCTAGTGGAGTAAAAAATCTGATTAACTCTTCTACTCTACAGGTGTGCAGGGGGCTCAAGCCAGAGGGAGGTGCTGGAGCATATAGGGAGGGACAACCTCTCTGGGTGCCCTCTTTGTCCCAGTGCCCACCTTGCCGGGAGCACTCCTGCCTTCCACCAAGCTCCTTGGGTCATCCCATCTTCCAAAGAGGTAGAAACCAGGCTGAGAAATGAGGCCGCAACAGGTGAGGACCAGAGGCAGAGCCTTCAGCTCTCTGAGCAACAGGGGCTGCTGGGGCTCTGCAGCCTGGAAAGGGAGGGTCACGCCGCCCCCTGGTGGGTGCCAGGGACACTGCAGCCACCTCCCCAGGTCACAGACACACAAGCAGTCAGGGCTTCTGTGCAGAGGATTTTATTGGGCATAAAGGGCGCTGCAGAGGGAGGATCAGTGTTCAGTTTCTCAGCACAATCTTCTTAATCCAGGGCAGGAGAAAAGTGATGCGGGGGCTGAAGAATGGCTTATAGCTGGAGTTAACTTCGCTGACCTTGGACATTAAGCCCACTAGGGTCCAGGTATTATTACTCAAGCACACAAGGGGGTTGCCAGAGTCACCCTGTGGGGGAGAAAGAATCCCTCTGTGATCCTGATCTGGGTGCCAGGACCCTGTGTGCCCTGATCTGACTCAGGTATGCTGAGTCATCACAGCTGGGCTCAGAAGTGAGCACTAGAAACTTCGGTCTAGTCCAGAATCATCTCAGCTCAGCCACCTGCTCCAGCAGGCTTGGGACCAGGAGTGTCAACAGGCTGAACTCCAGGCTCATAGTCATGTGAGAGATGTGCCCCCTGGGAGTGGCTGGACCCCCACCAGAGACATTCCCCATGGGCATCTGTTAGGTGGTCTTGTCTTCCCTGACACTGGGCAAGGGCTGAGAGTGAGGGGATCATGGGCAAAGAGTGGCCCTGGCAGGCCAGGAGAGTGGACACATAGTGAGGGGCTGGGGCAGAGCCAGGCCTTACCTTGGAGATGGTGACTCCTAGAGATCCGGCACAGATAATGTTTCTAGGGACTGTTGTGCCCCAGTATTTCTTGCACTGGTCATTGGGCATGAGGGTCATGTAGGACTGCTGCAGCTTGTGAGGTATATCTGTGGCTAGAAGGACATAGGGCCATGAGCAGGTCAGAGCCCCACATCCCCCTCACTCCTCCTGGGTGGAGGTGGCAATGCCTCTTGTGCTGCCCACACTGGACCGTCCACCTGCTTCAGCATCATCAAGTGCTGGGTCATGAGCCTGCACCTCCTGCAGACCTCGAAGTAACTGTGGACACAGGCCTTGTGATTCTACTCCAGGGGGAGCTGACTTTGCTGCCAGCACAGGAGATGCCATAAGCCCTGCCTGGGCCCTGCCACCCTATGTTGCAGGCCCAGGGGCAGATTTTCCCTTAGGAAAGGAGACTGACATCTTTCTAGCTGCAGACCCCATTCTGGGGGTGACAGGGAGCTCTCTGGCCCCTACCCCTTCCTGGTGGCTTCTGCCCTATGGAAGGACCAGCTAGGTAGCCCTGGCCTGGGCAGAAGGACTCAGGATCCTGGAGGAGACCATCAGGCAGAGCCAGCCCTGGGACATATAGTCCCCAAGTTTCCCAAGCCCAGCAGGGCCCAAACACCACCTTGGACCCCTGGCTCCCTGGCACATCTGAAAGGTGGCTATGCCCTCCTGGTAGCCACTGAAGGTCCCATTCAGGGGAGCCCAGAGGGAGAATCTGAGGCCTGTCTGCTAAGCTCCTGTCTCTCAAGCTGAAGGTTCTTGTCCCTTATCCCCTGCCGCAGCCCCTCAGCCCAGACTCCCGCACGCAGGAATCGGGGATGTCCAGTCTGGAGGGAGTGCTGTGGACAGGCTGCAGGCAGGTGGTGAGTGGGCATGGCCGCTGGGACTGAGCCGTGTCTTCAGAAACTGTTCATGGACATCATTAGCCTCGGCTCCTAAACGACTGATTGGGGTTGCATTAAGAGAGTCGTATATAGGAGAGACAGATTCACGACTTCTTTGAATTTTGAAGAATCCACAAAGAGGCATCCTACGGATCACCTGCTGCTGAGTCAGCCTGACTCCAGACCGCCCTCCTGGGAGCAAGGCCAGGGTCACTCACCGTTGTAACTCGCGAAGCCCCAGCCGCTGGTGAGACACAGCGACTGCGCAGGGAAGACCTCCCCAGTTTGGGGCAGGCACACGGTGGACACATTCTTAGAGAAACGAACAGGTGTGGCCATTTTCACAAGGGCGATGTCCTTGGCCACACGTCCACTGTGATAATCAGGGTGGTTGAAAACCTGTGGGTGAAGTTGGAAGAAGGCAGTGAGCCCTTGGGGTCCAGCAGAGGCCAGTACAGATGCCCTCCTGGTAGCCGCTGAAGGTCCCATTCAGGGGAGCCCAGAGGCAGCATCTGAGGCCTGTCTGCTGAGCTCCTGTCTCTCAAGCTGAAGGTTCTTGTCCTCTTTCCCCTGACCCAGCCCCTCAGCCCAGTCTCCCGGCCTGTTCACAGGGCCTCGCTCACCTGTGCAATCCTGTTAGCCTGGTTATTTTTTGAGTGTCGAGCAGCTATTCCAATCCCAATCAGGTGGTCATTCCTAGGGAGCAGGCGAGTGAGGAGGGGAATGTGCCCGCTGGCCTCCCCAGACCCTAGCCTTTGAGGGGACTCACGTGATATTGCAGTGGGCGGCGGAGATCACCCAGACGGGCGAGATGAGCGCGCCGCTACACACCAGGTCGCCATCTGTGTTCTGGAGGAAGAGGGCGGTCACGCTGGCCGGACACCGCCAGCATTTGGGCCGTATCCTCTCCCCCTTCCCTCCTTCTGGTATTAGACCCCGGTGTGACCCCCACTTAAGTGCACAGTCCTACTCACCATCACAGCCACATGCCAGGGACAGGATCCAGGGAGAGAGTCCACCCCATTGATGATCCTGGCTTTGTTGCTCCTTACAGGGTGAGTGGCTGGGACCCCACAACCTATGGGGGGGCAAGAGGGAGAGTAAATGTCCTGAGGTCCCATGTGTTGCAGAACTTGGTTTCTACCTCAGCTTGCAAGCCCCCCCCACTGCCACATTACCCATATAGAAGACTTCCCTGGAACCCCAATCTGTAGGTTGACCCCCCACACACACCCTGTTGTGACTAGTCATCCCTCCATGGGCATGGACGTGTGAGGCGGCTCCATCCCCCTCTGCCTGCCCAGAGGAGCTTCAAGGAGCTGAGGAATCAGGCCTGTCTCCTCTTGCTGGATGGAGACCTCACCCCCTGTCACTCTCCCAGGTTCACTTTCCCCAGTGACATTGGGAGCAAACGCTGCTCCCCTCACAGGCAATGCTCACCGGAGAGTCTGTCGGGGCAAGGAATGTGGAATTATAACCAGAGACGGGATCTGTCCTGGGACCTGCTGCCAGACTGTGCCAGGACTCGTTTACATTTTGGACTCTCCATTCTGGAGCTTTCAGGAAATATTCATTGCATTACATTGAAGATTATTAATTCCTTAATAAAATAGGACTTTGATTCCACCATAAAAAGACACATGGAAGAAGCAGAAAACAAGGAGATTGTCCATAACAAGGAGGAAACGCAGGGCCCTTGACATGTGCAGACACATTTGCTGGGTCAGGACACAGGATCCTCAGCAGCTCCCAGGGGTGTGAGAACTTGGCCACAGGAAGAAAGGGGGGGGGCAGGCCCAGCTGCTCCCACCAGCCAGGCTGTCCCCAGGGAGCCCCAGGCCTTGCTCCAGGCAGTACCTGCCCCTGCCCCTGGGGACAGGGACATGGCCCAGCCACTCCCTCAGGCTGGTGTCTCCAAACATGTCGTCTCCTCATCATCTTTTCTTGTAACAGAAAAGCTACCAGCAGGAGCTGTGAGGGGCTCACCCTGCAGAGGCTTCATAGCAATGGAGTGGGAGGCCGGGTCCCCTGTGCTGGAGGAGCTGAAATCTCACAGGAGTGGGGACAGCAGGTGTGACAGGGACGGGCAGGAAATACAGGGAGGAGCTTCCCCCACTGAGCCCTGGTTCTGGTTATAAACAGGGAGTGAGGGTGTGAGGCTGCACAGAAGTGACAGGCAGGGGCTCAGCAGAGGCCCCTTCCCAGGAGAGGGGGGAGCAGGGAGCTGCTGGGCCCAGTGTGGGTGTCAGAGAAATCCCTGAAGCAAATAGGGCAAGGCAACATTTGCTCATTTAACAGGTTAAATACATTGGTTTTGCATTATTTTTACATTTTCATTCTTTCTTATTTTTTTAATAGCAAAGATACAGCTTAACTCTATCTGGAACTGAACAGATCTCTAGTGGAGACGTGGGGGGTTTCTGCAACCCACCCTTCCTGTGCCCATAGCCACACACCCGTCTTTTGTGGGTTGGTCCTCCTTGGGCCCAAGTAGTTATTTTGCACACCTGGCACAAGGTGTGAGGCCTCAGAAAGTTCTAGAGGGCTCCTCTCCTCCCTGCAAGTTCTGGGTAACTGTCTGGGTTTGAGGCCAGGGTGCAGGGCAGGGACTCAGCTCTCCCCTTGTATTGCCCCCTGGACCTCACCGGGGAGGCAAGCACTGATGCAACCTGGTGATGAGCCAGTGGGGGCTCAGGGCCTTTCTTCCAGAATCTTTCATGTGTGAATACCCCCGAGCCACAGACTCACCAAAGGCAGCCTCAATGAGGATGAAGCAGGAGAGAAGCCAGAGGAAGGCCATGGTGCTGCAGACCGGGAGGTATGGGGCTGCCTGCTCTGGGGTCCCTTTTACATACCTTTGGGAGACTCAAGCACCACCCATGCTGTCTCCAAAATCCCTAAGTGTCACCTTTCCTGGGTTGTCATCTAAGGATCTAGTTGATAAGGGACCACAAACCTATCCTGACCTGGCTCAGCCTGGGACACTACAGTCCCTGGGAAAAGGGCAGCCGCCTGACACTGGTTCTGATTAGCATCAGTTACTCCTGGCGTGAGGAATCCAGCTGTGGGCCCTGGAGGCCCTGGGTCCATCATGGGGGCGGCAGGTACTCAGCAAAGATTCATCTACGAGGGAGCCTCACCCACCCAGGCTCCTAGTTCTGGGGCACCCAGAACTAAGCACTCAGGACTCAATTTCAACATAGACCCCAGAGCCAAGGACTTTTGCTACTTGTTTCACTCAGTAAAACTCCCCAAGACATAGAAAATTCCCGAGGCAAGGAAAAGGCTCAGCTTCCTCTTGGCATTGGCCTGAGAACTGACTGGGAGGGGCAGCTTCAGAGCATATAAGGGCAAGAAAGTCTCTCTCCATGGGCTCAACTGAATTCCTATTTCTTGAAAATTCATAATCTAATTAACTAGCCATTGTAAAAACTTAGTTTTCCCATGATGTTTTGGTTTCAAACCATAGACGGCCATTGAGGACACAGAAAGCTACTGAGTGAAGTCAGGGAACACAGAGGAAAGCACAGGAAGGCCAGGAGGAGGGATGTGCCAGGATGGCACCTGCCCTAGGTGGGGCCACAGGACCTCAGTCTCCTGGAGCAGAATCCTCTTTTCCCACGTCAGGTCCCTCTAGATCTCAGACACCCACACGCACAGGGCATCCCTGCCCTTGGGTTGCAGATCAGTGAGAGAGACACTCACCAAGTAAGAACATCACGTGACAGGTCCCCCAAGCTGGAGGGGCTGCCTGCTGCAGTCACTGTCGGGGCTCCCTGGTGAGAGGCCCTGTGGGAGAACTGAATCTTTTCCCAAGGCTTTGGCCTGTGCTTACCTGGGAGAAGCAGGTCAGAGGGAGCAGGCGGCTCCCGGGCTCAGGACAGTCACCCCGGGAGGAGCTTCTGGGGTGGGACATTGATGATATGGGGAGATTGGCGCCATTGGACAGGCTGGAGGGCCAGGCCTGTCCCTTTATGCTCTGTCCAAGTTGGTGTCCATGTGTCTACACACCACAGCCTCCTAATCCACTTACGTGTCTGGGAACTCGGTTGATTCCATAACGTGGCTGTTGCCATTAGTGCCGCAATCAGCACAGGAGTGAACGTGTGAATCGTGTAGTTTTTAAACTAGCAAGTTTCTTCTATTATAAAGATGATGTGGATTCATTACAGGAAATCTACAAAATACAGGAAAAATTAAGGTTACTAACTATGCCCCACACCAATGCCATTTGCCCTGATATGCTCTTTTGCAACCATCCAAGTTTGGGCAGGTTCATTTTTGGATCTTGCAGATAAAAAGATAATTTTGGAGTCTTTGGTAGATTTTTCAGACCTTTAATGCTGAATCAAGGAAAAGACCAGTTTTCTTTCTTGACTTTGCTCTGGCCTCCTCCTGTCTTGTGATCTTGGAGTGAGGCCTTACATCTCCTGGCCTCTTAGCACAGGTGTCCCCACTGACATATGCGTATGCCCGCGGTCTCTGAGCCAGGTCTCCACAATCACAGGCTTGCAAACCCACAGGTGCAGGTCATAGAAGCTATTGGTGGGAGGGCAAAAAATCCCTACAAATGCCAACGCCCTATTGTAGCAGTTATAAGCACGTTTCTAATTGAGGCATACAAATTCTATATTTTTAAACAAACAGATTGTAGTATGTTTGTTCACTGTTTTTTTCTTACTTGACGTTGTGCTGTGAGCCTCTTTCCAGGTCTATGAAAGTCACGCCCTGCTCTGGCAGCTCAGAGGACTGTGAGTGAACAGGCCCCCATGGTGCCTTCCTCGTGAGAGGGCCTCATGGACACAGGGAGCCCCTCTCAGGCCTTGTCAGGGACAAGCTCCTGCTTGGGGGGCCAGAGGGCAGTGCTGGTCAGTGAGGAAGGAGAGTGGTCATGGATAGAGAGTGTCTCCTCCCTGGTGTCAGTACTAGGGAGGAGCTGACGTGGACACGCTGGCTGGAGCTGGAAGCCCCAGGGAGGACAGACAGAGAAGCAGCTGGAATGTGCTTTGGGCCCCTCTGGGGCTGCTCTCACAGAGCCACAGCCCCAGCCATGCTGCCCTCTGTCCTCTCTCTATCTGGCTGGAGCCCAGACGGGATCCTGGGGGCCTGGGCCATCTGGGGGCATGGGGAGCAGCCAGTATGTGGGTGTGAAGTGGGCAGAGCCAGGAGGGGCCCTGAGGCTGCCCTGGGGGTGCAGTCCTGCCCAGGGGGCCCCCAATTTGGATTCTGCTCCAGGGAAGCAGCTCCCTCTTCTTGAGGCTCGGGCAGGTGGAGCTGGGCCTCCTGGTCCAGGGCTGGAGCAGCCTGTCAGGACACCTGCTGCGAGTTTCTGCTGATGACTCAGAATGAATTGCTGCAGCACAATGATGGGATCACAGAATCTGGATATTTTTAAAGCTTTGATGCTTAATTTAGCTGCTTCTAGATTTTTTTTTCATTAATTACTATCCACAAGACCCACATCACATCATCTGTGTATACAGAACATTAGACTTTACATTTTTGTTAATTCCAGCTTTGAAAGTATTTTTAGCAGCTAAAATTAGTGTATTTAAAAAAATTGATATATTTTATCAAAAGTTAATAAAAAACTGTTTTTTTGTATTAATTTTGTGTATTTTCCATCAGTATAGGCATTTTTATGCAACTATATAAGTTATATAATTTCTCAGACTATATTTTATTGCTGTTTGCAAACTGTTGGAGATGAACAATGACCTATATTTACCTTGTCCCGTGTGGAATTAATTGTGAAACTTTTGGTTCAAATTACTTCTCTAGAAATAACACCATTGATTTGACAGTTTGTTGGCCTTTGAATGTAAGTAAAGTTTTATATTAGAGTTACTTCTCCTTAGCCCACAGGACGTACTCTCAGCAGACAACAGGCTTTTGGGGAACTGTCCATTATAACACATAGTCCCCCCTCTTTGAGGGAGACTGACAGGCATATTTCAGGGGAGAGTGCAGGGCCAGCAGCTGTGTGCCACTTGGTTCTGGAGTTTTGGGTCATGTTCACAGACTGATTGGGCCCCCAGGGGTGACGGGTTAAGTGTTGGCCAGTTTTGAACATTAGGAGACCCCTATTTCCAGGCAGGGTAGTTATAAATAGTGACATTTGTGTTTTTTCTCTTTTCCCCATTCCAAGCAGGGAGTCAAGCTTTCTATATTTCTGTTTACTCAGAGATTTTTCCATCGTAGAAATGGACAGCCTGAAGGCACTGGCTCTGGGTCTGTTGTGAAAGTGCCCTCCTGTGATGGAGCCTGGAGGGCTGGGGCTGCAAGTAGGGGAGGGAGAGCTGCCCCTCCACGGTGAGGCCCAGGGGACCAGGTCACAGCTTGCATTTGCTCCAGTGTGTTGACATCAGGCAGTTGCTTTTGACACCAGCCCATCCCCCTCCCAACCACCCCTGAGGTGAGCCCACATGGAGCAGGGAACTCTCTGTGACAAAGAGCACAGCCATTGCCGCCTGCCCTCCCACAGCCACCTCCCCCCAATATATCACTCATACCCCTACATAGGACACCCACTAATGAATTCTCTTCCAACCAGATGTCACCGGTCGTCAGGTAGCGTCTCACCACCTTCACTCTCACCTTGTGATGGTGCCTCCCCCCATGGTGAAGGGTCCTCACAATCCAGAACTCTGTCCAGCGCCTGCTTTCTGGGGCCCAGTCCCGGTGCCAAGGCAGCCTCCAGTCCTGGGAAGCAGCCTCCACGTGAAGATGAGCAGCAGGGAGTGCATGGGGGAGCTCTTGGCTCCCACACCCTGAAGGGAAGGAGGGGCACAGGGGGCATAGTCAGAAATTGGGCTCCAGAAGATCAGCTTTGGTGAGCAGATGGGCCTTTAACCCCACTGACCAATCAGGGGTGTGGGCCTCCCAGAGAGGAGGCGCGGCCTTGGTCTAGGGGATTCTCTTCAGCTGAGGCCATTCCAGAGAGGCCCGTGCTGAGGGCCCTGAGCGGCTCATATTCCCTGCAGCTGGAGTGTGTGTCCTTACTGGAGGGATGTGGGTCTCAGTGGGCTGATGAACGGCACCCCCAAATTCATGTTACCATGAGATTAAGTGCTACACCAGTACCCCTACACTTGCATGCTCTAAAGGGTTTTGGCCAATTGTGAGCACCAAGACAGCAAATCGTAGTTTGAAAGAAATTTAATAAGATTGGTGTGCAGGGACCTCCCTGGTAGTGCAAGGGGTTAAGACTAGGCACTATGAAGCTATCCGCAGCCACTGCACATGAGTTTGATCCCCAGCCAGGGAGCTACCCACATGGAGCAGCAGACCTCTCCTGACTCGCCCACTGCTCCCCTCAGCAGTGTATTTCAGTAGATCTGCCTGTTCTGCTCCCCACTCTGTCTCTGGTGAATCCTCTCAACCCCTGCACCTCTGGCCTGTACCCCGTTTCTTGTATGCATAAATAAATCTTTAAAAAAAAAAAAAGAACTAAACTCAACAACAACAAAGAAAAACCGCATTGAGAAAAGGGCAGAGGACTGGAAGTTATTTCTTCTAGGTAAAGCTATCAATGTTGGATGGTCACAATTTGCCAGTTCGATTCCTGTTGGTGCCAGGAACGTTTACTGAGAAACAGACCAGAGGATGAGCTTTTAGGATCCAATTGGCTACAGAGACACGGACAAGACTAGGGCCTCCTCCGATCCATGGTGATGGACCCCTGCACTCAACAGGCTATGAGATAGAGAACAAGGGTTCTATGGAGATAATATAACTCTCATGGAAGAGCAGAAACATTTAGCTGACTTCAATAATTACACTGGTGATGATAATGTTAGTATTCTCTGCATCTGTAGTGTATAACAAGGGATAAAGCAAATACATAATGATGGGATATTCTAGGTCCATTGTTCCCTCTGTGTTAAAGAATAAGAATCCTTAGTGTAGAATTTAAAACATGTCAGGGTACCCTATTCACAGTTAAGTAAACACCCTTTGGCCTTGAATTTGAAGTGGGGTTCAAATTCATATCTCTATGAACCTAGGGCATATCTTATCAGAGAATTATTTGTCGTAAAATAGTTCTTTGTACTGTCCACTGGAAAGGTCTAGAAACATTCTCCACTCCACAAATCATGAGCATCCCATACACCCAGACTGTGAGCTTGAAATTCTTTTTCCACTGAAAGAATCCAGGGCATTTCAGAGAAATAGCTGATCAGGGTCTGGGGCATCTTGTGAGATCAGATAGCAAGGAAGCTTGGAACCCGTGTGGCCATGTCAAACATCCCAGAGCCAACTAGACAGCTCCCACTGGTCATAGGGAGGAATCTGAGTTTTATGACAGGCAATAGCCACAATGGTTAGAACCTTCTGTTTCTGTCCTAGAGCTATAATGACTCAAAAAAAAACAACAACAAAAACCCAAATACCAAAACCAAAAAAACAGCCACCCCCAAACACCAAATTAATCGGTTACCATGGAGGTTGAGAAGCAATAGCTTCATTATCTCAGAAGTGATTAAAGGAAAATGTGTAAGCAGAGTGAGCATTTGCCCGCATGTCTTATACCTACATGTCACTGGGTCCCTGAGGATAGAAGAGGAGACATCTCAATGAAAGGATTCCAGGAGAAAGAGAAGTTGAAATTAAGTCACCACCACTTTGCAGGTCCTCCAAGAGTTGATGGTTTGAACCTCAGGCGTTAAGGCCTGTGATTCTGATTACGAGAGAGAACCCATCCTGACACCTCCTTAAGCAGGAACCCAGCTATCTGCAGCCTCTAAAGATATTGAACATGACTCTGACAGGTCTCCAGATCTAACTGCTGAATCACAGAAAAGAAAAAAAAACAAAACAAAACAGAGGACAGGGGACCTGAAAGGACAGTGGTTCAGCCTCTGGGGCTGGAAGGAAGCTTCCCAGCTACTCAGTTCAGTCAGTGAGCAGGACCTGGGTAGAGGCAGGAAGGGTGGGGACTGCATGGATGGTCTGGGGTGGGGGGTGCAAGGAGCGCAAGGCAGAGAAAGGTGCCTGGAGCATGTGGGGAGGGACAAGCCTGCCTGGGTGACTCTCTTGGTTGCAGAGGACTGCATGGCCTGGCCTGGAGCACTCCTGCCTTCCACATAGTCCCTTGGATCAAGTCCGGCTGCCAAAGGCGCAGAAACCAGGCTGAGAAATGAGGCTGCAGCAGGTGGTCCTGGACTCTGCCCCAGCGGCCTCCTGAGCAGGGAGGCCCAGACCCAAAGGCCTCAGCTCCCTGAGAAACAGGGGCTGCTGGGGCTCTGCAGCCTGGAAAGGGAGGGTCACACCGCCCCCTGGTGGGTGCCAGGGACACTGCAGCCACCGCCCCCAGGTCACAGACACACAAGCAGTCAGGGCTTCTGTGCAGAGGCTTTTATTGGGATAAAGGGCGCCGCAATGGGAGAATCAGGGCTCAATTTTTGGCCACGGTCTCCTGAATCCAAGTCAGGTAACTAGTGACACGAACACACAAGACAGGTTTATACGTTGAGCCTGAGGTTCTGGCAGAGGACACGACACCCACCAGGGTCCAGGCTCCGTTTTTCTTGCAGACCAGGGGCCCACCAGAGTCTCCCTGTGGGAGGAGAAGGAAAGCATCTGTGATCCCGAAGTGGGTGTGAGCACCCATCTGTGTGTCCTCACTAGGGCATTCCAGATAGTGCCTAATATTCACAGGTGGGCTCAGCAGAAAACACCAGCAATTTCCATCTGGTTCAGAGATACTTGTGGTGGGCCACTTGCTCCAGCAGGCATGGGACCTTATCTGTAAAATGGGCTGAAACTACAGGCTCAGGAGTCATGTGAGAGATGTCCTCCTGGGAGTTCCAGCCCCTGGCCAGCATCATCCCCCAAGGGCATCTGTTTTGCTGGTCCTGCCTTCCATTGACAGTGGGCAAAGGTTGAGAGTGAGGGGATTATGGGGCAAGGAGTGACCCTACCAGTATACAACCAGAACACAGCAGTGAGGGACCCGGCTGGAGCCAGGCCGTACCATGGAGACTGTGACATTGTTGCCCCCAGCACAGACAATGTTATCACTGATTACTCGGCGCCAGTACTCCCTGCACTCAGTGTTGGACAGGAGGGGCAGGTAGGCCTGTTGCATCCTGTCGGCTGTCTTGTTGCCTGGAAAGATAGAGGGGCCAGGAGGTGTTCAGGGTCCTTATTCTTCTGCCCACCCTGGGTGAAGGCGACCCCCACCGGACTTTCCATGTGTTTCACCATCACCATGCGAGTCCAGCACCCCCTGGTGTCTGTGGACACGGTCCTCCTGATTCCACTCCAGGCAGTGCTGACTTTGCTGCAAACACTGTTGATGAACAAGCCCTGCCTGCCCAGCCTGGTGTGGCCTGGGTCCTGCCAGCCCGGGTGTGGGGTGTCAGGGGCAGCGCCCTCCTCCCCAGGGAAGGGGATGGCATCCTTCTGACTACAGACCTCACTCTGGGAGTGACAGGGACCCTTCCTTGCTGCCCCTTCCTGGCGGCTGCTGTCCTGGGGAAGGACCAGCCAGGTAGCCCTGGGCTGGACAGAAGGACTCAGGACACCAGGGGAGACCATCAGGCCCAAGGAGGGGACACCGGGCTGAACTCTCAGGCCCCAAACTCGCCCTGGTTTCCTGACCCCCATCCAGGTCTGGATGGCGTAGTCACCCTGGCCTGTGATGTCCGTGGGGGCGCCATGGAGGGGCTGTAGGTGGTGAGTGGCGCAGGGCCTGCTAGGCCCTGAGCTGTGTCTTCAAAAAGAGAGCTCTAGGACATCATGGACCTCGTGTCATGCATATTCGGTAGGTTTTGATTAAGAGGGTTGTATGCCGAAAGGGACACATCAACAGCACTGTTTGAATTTGGTAAAATACCTAAGAGCCATATGGGTCCAACCTGCAGCTTAGACCCCTGACCTCAGAGCCACCTCCTGGGAGTCAAGGGTCTCGTCACTCACTGTTGGCTATGCTTTCCCCCCAGCCAGAGGTGAGACACGGGGTCCCGGCGGGGAAGTCATTCTCAGCTTTGGGCAGGCACACAGGGGACACATTCTTAGAGAAGTGGGCAGGCATGGCCAGCTTCACCAGGGCGATGTCATTGCGGAGGTATTTCTGGTTATAGTCAGGGTGGTTGAAAACCTGTGGGGGAGGCCAGGGGAGTCGGGAGGCCTGGGGCCCACCAGGGATCTGCAGGCTTGAGGACACAAATGCTTTCAAGGTGCCCACTCAAAAGACACAGCCCAGGGGAGCCCAGGGAGAACCTTGCCCATCTGGTGAGCTCCTGTTTCTCCAGAAGCTGCAGGGTCTTCTCCCATTACCTTCACCCCAGCCCCTTAGCTCTCAGCCCAGGCCTGTCCTGTGGGGCCCGTTTACCTGTGCAATTTTCAGAACCTGGACATTCTTCATATCTTGTTGCCGGTCAACCAGCTCAGTCACAGCCAGATCCGATGTTCTAAAAGAAGCAGGAGGAACGAGAAAGAAGACTGTGCCCACCCCCCACCCCCAAATCCTCTACCCTCCCTGGGCCTCACGTGACATTGCAGTGGGCGGCGGTGATCACCCAGTTCTGGTTCATCAGGGAGCCCCCACAGGTTAGGAACCTGTTTCTGTCCTGGAAGAAGAGGGAGGGTCAGCGCTGGCAGGACACAAGTTACACTAACCCGGGCTACAGGGCACCCCCACCCCAGCCCCACCCAACACCTCCTGCTGTGTCTTTAGCCCACTGTGACCCCACTTAGGCAAAGACTCCCCCTCACGAGCAGGGTGAGGGGACATGATCCAAGGAGAGAGTCTATACCATTGATGATCTGGCCTTGCCGCTCATTACCAGGTGGATGGTGGGGGCCCCACAGCCTGGAGAGCAGGGGGATGGTGAGAAGGCTGAGGTCCTGGTCTTCGTGCAGAAACCTGGCTTGACCTCACTGGCACAACACCCCCTGCCACAGGCCCCTCCTCCAGGAAACCTTCCCTCTTCCTTTGTTTTTTGTTTCTCCATGTGTCTTTTGATGGTGTAAAATCTAAATCCTATTTTATTGAATAATTAATAACCTAAACTTTTTATAATGAAGGTTCTTGAAATCTCTGGAACAGAGAATCCAGTAATGTAAATGGGTTCATGTCACACTCTGGTGAAGGGTCAGAGAGCTGATTCATGTGGATCTGGGGTTTCCAATTATAATTCCAACCCTCTTGCCCAACCAATCTCCCAGGATAAGATTGTCCAGAACAAGGAGGACACGCAGGGCCCTTGACATGTGCAGACACATTTGCTGGGTCAGGACACAGGATCCTCAGCAGCTCCCAGGGGTGTGGGAACTTGGCCACAGGAAGAAAGGGGGGCAGGCCCAGCCCCTCCCACCAGCCAGGCTGTCCCCAGGGTCCCCCAGGCCTTGCTCCAGGCAGCACCTGCCCCTGCCTCTGAGGACAGGGACATGGCCCAGCCACTCCCTCAAGCTGATGTCTCCAAACATGTCGTCTCTTCATCTTTTTTGTAATGACAATAAACCACTAGCAGTAGCTGTGAGGGGCTCACCCTGCAGAAGATTCATAGTAATGGAGTGGGGGGCCAGGTCCCCTGTGCTGGTGGAGCCTGAAATCTCACAGGCGTGGGGACAGCATGTGTGACAGGGACGGGCAGGAAATACAGGGAGGAGCTTCCCCCACTGAGCCCTGGTTCTGGTTATACACAGGGAGTGAGGGTGTGAAGCTGCACAGAAGTGACAGGCAGGGGCTCAGCAGAGGCCCCTTCCCAGGAGAGGGGGGAAGCAGGGAGCTGCTGAGCCCAGTGTGGGTGTCAGAGAAATCCCTAGGGCAAATCCACAAAAAGAATACATTTGCTAAATACCAAGGTTAAATATGTACATTTAGTATTAATTTTGTACTTATACTGTACCTTCTTTAAAAGAAAACATAATATATAACAAATGTCTAACACTAAATAGATCCTGATGGAGGCTTTGGGGGTTTTGACACCCCACCCTGTGTTCACAGCTCCCACACCTGTCTACTTCTGGGATTGTATCCTCGTCAGAGGCAAATGGTTCTTTTCTGTACCTGACACAGAAACCTCAGAATGTCCCAGAAGGACCCCTCTCCTCCCTACAAATTCAGGTTAACTGTCTGGGCTTGAGGCCCAGGGTGCAGGGCAGGGACTCAGCTCCCCTTACACTGGCCCCTGGAAATCACCGGAAGTGTCCCTCACGACCCTAAGGTAGAGCATGGTGATGATCACTGGGGGCTTGTGTAACCACAGAATCCTCCCAGCCTGGATTACCCTGGACCACGACACTCGCCAGAGGCAGACCCAGTGAGGGTGAAGCAGGAGAGAGGCCAGAGGAAGGCCATGGTGCTGCGGTCAGGGAGGGTGGTCCCCCTTTTACATCCCCTGAGCCCCAAGCCCCACCTGACCCTCTGGGCTTTCCCTGACAGAAGGTCACACTTCGTGTTGTCAACTAAGGATCTGGGATGAGGGGTTATGGAACTTGTCCCTGCTTGTCTTTCACCTGGGGCACGCTAGCCCCTGGGAGAAGGCCTTGGCTACTCCTGGCCAGGAATCCAGCCTTGGGCCTTGGAGGCCTTAGGTCCATCATGGAGGTGGCAGCTGCTCAGCAAAGACTCACCTACAGGGGAGCCTCACCCAGGTGTTCTGGCGCATCCAGAGCCAAGAACTTCAGGCTAATGAATTTCTTCTGGTAAAATCCCCGAGGCAAGGAAAATCAATGAGACAAATTAAAGTCTCCTTTCCTCTTCGAATGGGTCTCAGAACTGATACTGAACACCAGCCTCAGTTTTCCTCACCCAATAAAAGGAAACAGAATTTGAAAAGAGGGAAAGTAGCTTAATTTGTTGACAAACCCAGGAGGGCAGCAGGCTGGTGTCTGAAGAACCACCTTTCTGCTCTTTGGCAGAGGGCAGGTGTTAGCCCAGCAAGGCACAGAGCAGGTTCTCTATGGATCCAGGAAGATGGGTAAAGGAGAGTCCTGGAGCCCTCTGTGGCTTTTTCAGGCTTTTATTGAGTTTACCAGGTACATGGCAGGCAGGGTGCAGGCCTCCTGGGGACCCCAGCGAATCTTCACTCCTGAGCTCTCCGGCGTTCTCCTGTGGCCTCTGTTTCTCTGCTGGTTCTCTGTCATTCTCTCACTTGCTCTCCTTCTGGAGGTTCTGTTTCTCGACACTGCCCTTATAAGCCCCATCTCAGCACAGATGTACCCACCCACGTATGCCCACACCCTGCTCCAGGTGCCCACCATCAAGCATGCATTCAGGACCACAGGGATCACCAATCCTAATGGCGGGAGGGCAGAAATGCCTGACCATTATTTACCCTACACCATACTTGAAGTATTAGTTTCTTATCAAGGAGGTTTTGATTCCACCAAATGGCACAAGAACAAGGAAAGCTCTGAACTGATGTCAGGGAACAAGGAGGACAGGAAGATCAGGCGTAGGGGTCTGCCTGGGAGGGACCTCAAGGGTGCAGAATAGTAACCAGGGAGGAGCTCCTGGGGTGGGACATTGAGGATTTGGGGAGACTGACACCCCTGGGCCGGCAGGAAGTGTGGGCCTGTCCCTTCTGGCCCCTCTGTGTCTTCCTGTCCTGCTGTTGCTTCCAGCCCGTGTCATCCATGGAGCCCCCAGTGCAGCCCCCAGGGGAGGATTCAAAGACAGGGAGCTGCCAGCTGAGGGAGGGTGAGTCACAGCAGAGAGGAAGGCGCCAGAGCAGAGAAGTGGCAGAGCCTGGGAGGGAAAATCATGAACAGAACGTCCGTCATTCCGCAGTTGAAAGAGTCAGGCTTAAGTAGAACTCAAAAAGATGAGACTTGAAGGTGAAATCAATAAATATCTCTCCCTTAGAAAGAAGTCCCCAGAGCCAATCAACAACGCTGCCTCCATCTTTGACAATGGAGACCAATATGTGTAAACATTTTGGACTTAGTTTTCTTTAAGAGCATGTGGAGTAGCTAGTGGTTTTGTTTTTATCGATTCATTTATTTCACTGAGGCAACATTGCTTAAAACACTGCATAGGATGCAGAGGTACACGATCACCCCATCACCTTTGTCACCACACCGTGCCCACCACCAAGGCCCCATAATCTCTCCCCATGGTTCTTGTGCTCCCTTCCTCTTTGACCTCATCACCCCCATCCTGTGTAGTTTCGATTCTACAGTCAGAGGTTTAGGGTTCCTTATTGGTTTGGTTTTATCTGACCTTTCATTTGTTTCTCTACCGTTGATAGGGTAGGATAGAAAAACTGAAAAGGAGGCATCACAATACCAGAACCTGACTCACGAAGGAGGTGGGGGCAGAGGGATTAACAGCCATTAACTCAGTATAGGAACTGAGATCCTTGGGCCAATGCCTGTATCACAGAGCACAAGACCCAAGCAAGTCTCAGGAGGGTGTCAGGAGTGCAGAGGGTGTCAGGAGTGCAGACCTGAAGGTGAAATATGGAGATTGAAGGCCCCTTTCAATTTCTACATAGTTAATCAAAATCAACAACAAACAAACCACTTCACAGAAATGAGCCTCTCCCAAAGAGAAGTCTAGATCAGTGCAATCTCTGCACTGGCATGGGACAGCAGTCCTGCCCACCTGTGACTATGCAGGTGCTTCTATAGACCAACTCTCCCCCTCAGGAGGGCAGCAGCCTTCCTGCCTGCCTGTGACCTGTACCATTCCGGGGCTTCTCTGCACTGACCTCCCTCAGCGGAGGCAGCTCTCCTCAAGACCATGCAGGCCTCTCTCTTAGCAAACCTGTCCCTTTTGGGCAGCCCTTTCTGCCCGTTTGTGTCTATGCAAATGTCCTTCTTTCTTCTCTCCCTTTTATAATAAACCTGCTATTTAGGATATAACTAATGTCTCTGCATCATGGAGAAACTGGGGGGTAGGGAGAACTAGCCAGTGCTCCTGAAAGGGGAGCTCTGGTGAAACGTTTCCCAGAATATACCCAAGGACCCCACTCCCCAAACCCTCCAAAAACATCACTGTCACATGTAAATGACACCTTCTGATATTTATCTTCGTCCTTCTGACTGCATTTCTCTTAGTGTAACCCTATCCAGTTCCACCCATGTTGCCACAAATAATAAGAACTTGCCTTGTTTTATCTGAGTTGGAACTATCCTGTGTGCTGCATTCCACTTCCTCCTCGTCCACTCACCTGACTGGCCCTTAGGCTGTTTCCTTAAATTGGTTATTGTTGATCCTGCTGCAAGGATTATCACATATTCCATGTTGCTGTTTTTTTTTTTTTTTTAAACACCTGGATTAACATTTTACTTCTGTAATAAAGACAAAACATGTTTATTATGGAAATTTATAACAAACAGGAACTGCTAGGATGAAAACAAATATCATATTCCCCCTGACCTGAAATGCCAATTCTGTGGATGTAACTTTTTGTCACTTGTAGCGTGGATAGCAGACTAAAATCTATATTTTTATATAAACAACTAAGGTTATATTCGAGTTCTCTCTCTTGCTTCCCACTTGATCTTATGCTGTGAGCCTCTTTCCAGGACTGGGAAAGTCACGCCCTGCCCTGGCAGCCCAGAGGACCGTGAGTGAACAGCCCCCTATGGCGCCTTCCTCATGAGAGGGCCCCATGGACAGGGGGAGGCCATCTAAGGCTGGTCAGGAACAGCGCCCCAGCTCCTGCTCAGGGCCAGAGGGCAGCGCTGGTCAGTGAGGAGGGACAGTGGTCATGGACAGGAAGCGTCAATCCTACGTGATATGGACACGCAAACTGCAGCTGGAGGCCCCAGAAGGACAGACAGAGAAGCAGCTGGAATGTGCTTCGGGCCCCTCTGGGCTGTTCCCACAGAGACACAGGCCCGGTCACGCTGCCCTCTGTCCTCCTCCATCTGGCTGGAGCCCAGACGGGATCCTGGGGACCTGGTCTTCTGGAGGCAGGGGAAGTAGCCAGTGTGTGTGGGTGCAGTGGGAGGAGCCAGAGGGAGTGCCGAGATTGCCCTGGGACCCAAGGAAACTTCCAGTCCTCACAAGGAACTCAAGGGCTGGTCCAGTCACAGCAATGGTTCTGAAAGGGCACGTCGGGGAGGAGGCGGGGTGCTCATGGGAGGCCCAGGCGCGAACCCCAGCCATATAGGCATAAAGCAAGAACACGGAGAATGACACCAAATGCTTGCAAATGAAACATACTCTAAATAAACACTTTTATTGGGGACACCTGTTGTTGGGATCTGAGGAATTGGGGTTTAGTTTTTTGCCATGGTCTCCTGAATCCAGGGCATGAATTCGATGACATGGGCAAACATGTTAGGCAAGTTGGTTTGGCATTTGGAACCTCCCATGCTCGTGACGCCCACCAGGATCCAGGGGCCATTCTTCCGGCAGACCAGGGGACCGCCAGAGTCGCCCTGTGGAAAGAGAAAGGACCTTTTTAAGTAAGTCTTTAAGGGATGCCAGGACCATGGTCTGTCCGACCTGGTCAAGTCATATGTCAAGGAATATCAGGGTGACCTTTTATTCCAGCACCAGAAACTCCATCTGTCAAGTACAGCCCAGTTCTACCTCCTTCTATGGACGGTTGGGGCTGTGGTCTGTCAGTGGGCTGGAAAATCTAGCCCAGAGGAGCGTGCGGGAGTCTATCTCCCCGGACATCACCCTTAAGCCTGACCAGGGCCAGTCATCTGCTGGGCATGCGTAAGTGCTGGTCCTGGCTTCCCTGGGCATCGGGCGAGGGCTGAGGATAAAGGGATTATGGGGCAAGGAGGGGCCCTGCAGCCTGACCAGTGGGGACACATAAGTAAGGGGGTGGGCTGAAAACAACAACATACGCTGCAGATGGAGGTACCGTTGGCCCCAGCACAGACAAGCCTGTCTTTGATCTTGCGCCAGTACTTAATGCACTGTTGGTGGGACAAGAGGGGCATGTAGGCCTGTTGCAGCTTCCTGGTTTGTTCTAGAGAAATAAAGAGGGTAAGACAGTTAGCGTAACTCGCACTCCTAACTGACCCCTGATGGAAGAGGGTACCACAGAGCTGCCCTCTTCCTTCAGAGCTGCCAGGATGCAGGGGCCTGAGCTCAGCACCTCCATTAGACCTTAGATGCCTCAGTGGACACAGGCCTTGTGACTCCCTCCCAGCCGGGCTGACTTTGCTCCATGCACAGTTGAGGAAATAAGCCCTGCCTGTCCAGCCTGGTGTGGCCTGGATCCTGCCAACCTGGGTGTGAGGGCACAGGGACAGCATGGTCCCCCAGGGAAGAAGACTGACATCCTTCTGATAGGAGACCCCATTCTGGGGGTCCCCACTGCACCTTCCTGGCAGCTGCTCTCTGGTGGGAGGATCAACTGGGCAGCCCTGGCCTGGGCAGGAAGACCCAGGATGCTAGAGAAGACCATTTGGCAGAGTCAGCTTTGGGGCAGGGACACCAGGCTAGACTCTCGGGACCCCAAACTAGCCATGGTCTCCTGACTTCCAGCCAGGTCTGAATGGTGGCCGACCCCTGCCCTCTCAGGCCTGGGGGAACTTCCAATGCTGCTGGGGTCTCTGTGGACAGGTGCAGGTGGTGAGTGAGGCAGGGCCTGCTGGGACTGAGCTGTGTCTAGAGAACCTGACCATTCAAGGACATCATGAACCTCATGTCCATGAGCATTTGCTCAGGTTTTCATTATGAAGGTTGTAATAAAGAAACAGATATATTTATGACACTGAAAAATCCCAAAAGAGAGACTTTGGTGTCCCACCTGCTGCTCAGGCACTCTGACCCCGGACCCACCCCCTGGATGACAGGCTATGGTACTCACTCTTGGACAGACCCCAGCCTGTGGTGCTGCACATGGTCCCAGGAGGGATCTCATCTGCAGATTTGGGCAGGCACACGGAGGAAACCGTCTTAGAGAAGTTGGCGGGCGTGGCTAGCTTCACCAGGGCGATGTCATTGAAGTTTGACTCATCCGCAGGTTTCCTGAAAACCTGTGAGTGAGGCCAAGAGGTGGAGTGAGGTCTGGGATCCAACAGGTACTTCAGGTGTGACTAGCCAAATGCCTTAAGGTGCCCATTCAGGGGACACACCAAGGGAGTCCAGGGAGAATCTGAGGCCCAATCTGGTGGGCTCTTGTCTCAGCCAGCTGAAGAGGTTTCTATCTACTGCTGTTGCCCCACCTCTCAGTCATCTCCCGGGCTGGTGGGTAGGGGCTGGCATACCTGGGCAATCTTCAGGATCTGGGCATTGTTCCTTTCTGTGTTCAGGTCAACAATCCCAGCCACAACCCGGGCAGCTGGGCTAGAAGAAGCAGATGGGGTGAGAAGGAGGGTGTGTGCCCAGATCTCCCACTGCCCCAACAACATTCCCTGAACTTACTTAACACGGCAGTGGGCAGCGGTGATCACCCACTTCTCATTGAGCAGGGAGCCCCCACAGAAATGGAAGCCAGAGGTGGTCTGGGAAGAACAGGGAAGAGTCAGCGATGGCAGGACACCATGTGCATTAAACTGTGAAGGAGCACCTCACTGGGCTGCGCCCCTGTGTGACCCCACTTAGGCGCATACTCCCCCTCACCTGCAGGGACACCTGCCAGGGCCAGGCACCAGGGAGAGCGTCCTTTCCATTCACGATCCTGTTTGTGTTGCTCCCTTCAGGGCGAATAGAAGGGACACCACAGCCTGGTGGGGGCAGAGGGAGGCTGAGTAGGGTAAGGTCTGTCAGTCTGCAGAGACCTGGCTTCTTCCTCATGTGGCACACACTGCCACCTCTCTTCCCTACCACCTTAATCTTCAGTTTCAGGACCCCCACACAGAGTCTGCTAGCCCAGTCACCCTCCCAGGGATGCAGAGGGACAAGCAGCTCCATCTAGGTCATCCTGACCAGACAAGCAGAAAGAGGCTGAAGAATCAGGCTTCCCTGCCCCCCTATGTCCAGACCTTTGGACACTCCCAGGCTCATTTCCCCAAGAAAACAGGAGCAAACACCGCCCACCTCATAGACAAAGCTCTCCCGTGAGACTGATGGGGTGAAGGGCTATGGAATTTTATTTTGAGAGTCAGAAATCCACAGGGAATCGCCCCTCTAGCACTTTGCCAGAGTGTGAGCTGGACCTGTTGACATGGCTGGATATTGCGTTCTGGAGATTTCAGGAAACTTCATTGCAAAAAAATGTAAGGTTATTAATTGTCAAATAAAAGAAGGACTTTGACTTCCCACCATAAAAAGACACATCAAAGAAACAGATTGCCTGGAGCAAGGGCGACACGCAGGTCCCTTGACATGTGCAGACACATTTGCTGGGTCAGGACACAGGATCCTCAGCAGCTCCCAGGGGTGTGAGAACTTGGCCACAGGAAGAAAGGGGGGCAGGCCATGGTGCCAGCAGGCCATGGACAGCCAGGCTGTCCCCAGGGTCCCCCAGGCCTTGCTCCAGGCAGCACCTGCCCCTGCCCCTGGGGACAGGGACATGGCCCTGCCACTTCCTCAGGCTGGTGTCTCCAAACATGTCGTCTCCTCATCTTGTCTTACCAGAACAGAAAAACCAATAGAAGGAGCTGTGAGGGGCTCACCCTGCAGAGGCTTCATAGTAATGGAGTAGGGGGCCGGGTCCCCTATGCTGGTGGAGACTGAAATCTCACAGGAGTGGGGCCAGCAGGTGTGACAGGGACGGGCAGGAAATACAGGGAGGAGCTTCCCCCACTGAGCCCTGGTTCTGGTTATAAACAGGGAGTGAGGGTGTGAAGCTGCACAGAAGTGACAGGCAGGGGCTCAGCAGAGGCCCCTTCCCAGGAGTGGGGGTGGGTGGGTGGAGCAGGGAGCTGCTGAGCCTAGTGTGGGTGTCAGAGAATCCCTAGGGAAAATCTGAGGGTAGATACATGGATGTTGTATTACTATTTTGTTAACTGGAAACAAACTGCTTAGCAAGTGCCAGGCATTACATAGAATTCCCAGGTAGAATAATGGGGTTCTCTTGTCACCACCCCAACTGTGCCCACAGCATCATAATCAAGCCACTTCTGCAGCTTCTGTAATTTTCTAAGCCTTGTGCAGGGTGTTAGGGGTGCCCTCCCTGTAAATTCAGGTTAACAGTTTACACTTAAGGCCCAAGGGAGCAGGGACGTTGTGCAGCTCTCCCCCTTGGTCTGGACCCCAAACAGAAATACTTAGTCCCATTGACTGGGACTTGGTGCCCAGTAACTAGGGGGTTGGGGAGATCCTCCCCAACCCCTCTCAGAATAATAGCCCCCAACACCCCTGATACTCACCAAGAGTGGTTCCCACCAGGGCGAAGCAGGAGAGAAGCCAAAGGAAGGCCATGGTGCCGCAGTCAGGGAGGGTGGCGCAGCCTGCTCTGGGGGCCCTTTTACATCCCCTGGGAGCCCCAAGCCCCACCCTGGCCCTCTGGCCTTCCCTGACCTGAGGGCCCCCCTCCCAGGACCTGGGGATCTAGGTGATAAGATGCCACCTTATCACCAACTAGTGTTGGCTTGTCTCTCAGGCTGGGATACAGGCCAGTTCTTGGAGAAGGGCAGCTGGCTGGCCAACTAGCATCCTGATCAACTTGGCAACTCCTGGTTTAAAGAATCCAGCTGTTTGGAACTGGATTTCCTGGACCCCAAACAGAAATACTTAGGCCCGTTGACTGGGACTTGGTGCCCAGTAACTAGGGGTTGGGGAGATCCTGGGGGGCAGGTGGGTAGATCCTGGGGGGCATCATGGGGGGGCAGGTGCTCAGCAAAAAGTCATCTACAAGGGACCTTCACCCAGGTGATCTGGTCACCCAGAGCTGTGTGTCTAGGAGTTCAATTTTACCATAGATCACAGAGTTGAGAATTTCAGGGTGCTTCTGTGCCTGCTCTAGAAAATTCCTGAGGCAAGACAAATCCATGAGGCTCAGTTCCCTGCTTGGAACCTCAGAACCAGCCCAAACAAGCGGCTCCAAGCACACAGGGAGGCCCTACCCAGCTCTCAAGTGAATTCTTGCTTCTTTGAGAATGCACAGAAGTAGTCATTGCTTAGAGTTTTGGTTTCTTATCAGTGAGGATTTGAGCCTCACTTATGGCCACTGATGACACAGAAAGATCAGGATCGATGTCAGGAACAAGAAGGAGAGGACAAGAAGGCCAGGTATAGGAATGTGCCGGGAGGCTCCTGCCCTCAGTGGGGCCACAGGACCTCCGCCTCCCGGGCAGGACCCTCTCTCCCTGGCTCTGTCCCTTTGGATCCCAGGCACCCATGTGGACAGAGCACCCCTGCCCTCGGGATCCAGAACAGTGAGAGAGACACTCACCAAGTAAGAACATCACGTGACAGGTCCCCCCAAGTGGGGGGCTTCTGCAGGCAGTGTCGGGGCTCCCTGGGGAGAGACCCCCTGGGAGAACTGAATCTTCCAAGACCTCGGCCTGTGCTCACCTGGGAGAAGTGGGTCAGAGGGAGCAGGTGGCTCCTGGGCTCAGGACAGTGACCCCAGTAGGAGCTTCTGGGGTGGGACATGTGAGGATTCAAGGAGACTGGTGCCCCTGGACAGGCAGGAAGCGCAGGCCTGTCCCTCTGCTCCCTCTGCACTTCCCCATCCTGCTGTCGCTTCCAGCCTGTGTCATCCACGGAGCCCCCTCAGGGACACAGAAATGAGCCGCCCCCAAGGGGGGGATTCAAACCGGGGGAGCTGCCAGCTGAGGGAGGGTGAGCCACAGCAGAGAGGAAGGCACGAGAGCAGAGGAGGGGCAGAGCCTGTGAGGGAAATCAGGGATGGAACATCAGTCCTTAATCTTCAGTGGAAACATACTCAGTTTTAACCGCCAGTTCAAAAATGGAGAGAGATGAGGATGAAATGAATCAACAGGACTCCTTTGAAAAGAAACTTACAAAAACTAATCCCAAATGGTGAACTGCTTTCTCTTCTGTGAAGAAGTGAGCATTTTGGACTTCATCTTGTTAGAGCCTGTGAGCTGGGGCTTGTCAGGACACAGGGAGGAGATGGAGGACAGATAGATCCCTCGCTTCCCTGCTTGCCCTGGATTCCAGAGCATGTGTCTGCAGGGAGCAGCCTTATCTGCAAGGCTCTGGGGAAGTGGGGACCAGTGTTTTAGCCAGGAGGAGAGCCCGAAACCACTGACATATCAAGGACAAGAAAACACTAAGTCAGGACTGGCGTGGTTCCCTGGAGGCCTGTGGGGACATCCCCATGGCACTCTCTTCTGGTGGCTACGGGTGTTTCTGGTAAGAAAGAAGCACTGTCATCGGCACAGAGAGAAGTGGGGAGCGTGCAGCCCACCAGACATGCTCCAACTCAGGACCAGAATGTGGGGGCCCCCTCAGCAAGCCAGTTAACGAGACCCTGGCCGGTGGTAGGTTGTTCACAAATCAGGACAGACCCTGGATTTAAGATGGGACTTTTGGCTTCATGTGCTTTTCAGCAATAACAAGGACCTGGAAACTTTACATTTGAAAAAACTTGGGTATCTAAAACCACTTTTTCAAATGGCTTCCCTGGGCACTGAGCAAGGGTTGAGAGCAAGGGGATTATGAGGCAAGGCGTGACCCTTGCAGCCTTTGAGACAGGACAGAGCAGAGAGAGCCTGGGCAGAGCCAGGTCACACCCTGGAGACGGTGACACCATTGGGCCCGCACGGATCGCGTCACCCGTAACATCACTGCCCCAGTACTTCTGGCACGCGGGCAGGAGGGGCAGGAGGGTGTGCTGCAGCTTGTCAGAAACTGTGGCTGTAAGAGCAGGGAGGCCAGGAAGAGGTCAGGGCCACACATCCAATAGTCCACCCTCGCTGGGAGAGACCGAGGGTCCCTGAGGGCTGCCCTCCTAGGCACTCAGTGTCAACGGGGTGCTGAACCTGAGACGTGTACCTCCTTACTTCTTAGGAACCTCAGTGGTACCCAATCCTTGTGGTTCTACTTGGAGCTGATTTTGCTCTAAGGGCAGTTGCCATAACAAGCTTGGTGTGGCCTGGGTCCTGCCAAACTAAGTAGGGGGGGCACAGGGGGAGGGTCTTCCCCCCAGGGAAGGGGAATAACATTCCCTTCAGTCCTTCTGACTGGAGACCGCACTCTGGGGTGACAGGGAGCTCCCTCCCTGCTGCCCCTTCCTGGCGGCTGCTGTCCTGGGGACCAGCGGGGTAGCCCTGGCCTGGGCAGAAGACTCAGGATGCTGAGACCATCAGACAGAACCGGGCCTGGGTAGAGGACACCGGTTGGACTTGCAGGTTCCCAAACCCATCCGGGACCCCTGAACCTCCAACAGGTCTGGAAGGCATCTGCACCCTGATTTCTCCTGAAAATCAGGTTAACTGTCTGGGCTTGAGGCTCAGGGTACAGTGCAGGGACTCAGAACTCTCCTTGGTCTCCCCTCCATAACCCTGCCATAACCCCACTGCACCCTATGATGGGGCCTGATTGAGAACTGCTGGGTCAGCGCCCTCCTCAATCTTCACCCAGGCCTACTGGCCCCAGACCTTGAAAGCAAAGGTGTCCCTAACCAGGGTGAAGCAGGAGAGAAGCCAGAGGAAGGCCATGGTGCTGTAGTCAGGGAGAGGTGGGGTCACACGCTCTAGGTCCCCTTTTACATTTCCTGGCGCCCCAGGCCCTGCCCAGGGCCTCTAGATCTTCCCTGGGCTGAGCAACACCCTCCCTGCTGTCATCTAAAGGTAGGTTTTAAGGTGCCACTAAACTTTCCTAGCCGAATTCTCAGCCTGGGACACACCGCACTTGGACAAGGGCAATTGCCTGGTCCACAAACTCCCATCAGTCTTGGGGTAACCTGGGTCAAAGAATCCCGCCTTGTCTGAACTGAGAGGCCCTGGGTCCATCATGGAGATGGCAGGTGCTCAGCAAAAACTCATCTACAAGGGAGCCTCAACAGGTGTTCTGGGTCACCCAGAGGTGAGCATCCAGGACTCAATTCCAACACACACCCAGGATTTCAGACTATTTCTCTATCTGCTCAGGAAAACTCCCCAAGGCAAAGGAAACACATAAATCTCAGTTCCCTACAGAATGGGCCTCGGAACCAGCCCAGACACAAAGGTCAGAGCATGTAAGGACACGAAGGGATCACCCTGCTCATCCAAATTCCCTTGATCTGTGATAATTCATAATTTACAAAGTAGTCTTTACCTATTAAATGAGGATTTGATTCACACCATAAATATCCCATTAAGGACACAGAAAGCTCAGGGCTGATGTCAGGAACAGGAGGACAGCACAGGAAGGCCAGGAGTAGGGATGGGCCCGGGAGGCTCCTACCCTAAGTGGGGCCACAGGACCTCAGCCTCTGGGGCAGGCCCTGTTCTAGGTTCTAGATCCATGAGAGAGACACTAGCCAAGTAAGAACATTCCATGACAGGTCCCCAATGCGGAGAGGCTGCTGATGTCAGTGTCCAGGCCTCACTGGTGAGAAGACCCCGTGGGAGAAGTGAACATTCTCTAAGGCCTAAACCCTGTGCTCACCTGGGGAGAAGCAGGTCAGAGTGAGCAGGGCAGCCAACTCTGTAGATGTTACTTCTATCTGTGTTTTATTTCCCATGTGTAAAGTGTAAAGGTATAGAAAATCTATATTTTTATGTGAAACACAACTTATAGTATATGTTCACTGTCCTGTTTCTGATTTGACATTGTATTTTCAGCATTTATCCAGATCAGTGAGAGTCACGCCCTGCCCTGGCAGCCCAGAGGACTGTGAGCAAATGGCTCCCCGTGGTGCCTTCTTCATGAGAAAGCCCCATGGAATTGGGAGCCCCTCTTGGGCTGGTCAGGAACAGCGCCCCAGCTCCTGCTTGGGGCCAGAGGGCAGCACTGGTCAGTGAGGAGGGACAGTGGTCATGGACAGTGTCTGACAGTGTCTGACCTACGTGACATGGGCACCAGGGAGGAGCTGACGTGGACACGCCGGCTGGAGTTGGAGGTCCCAGGGAGGACAGACAGAGAAGCAGCTGGAATATGCCTCGGTCCCCTCTGGGTGGTTTCCACAGAGGCACAGGCCTGGTCACACTGCCTTCTGTCCTCTCTCCATCTGGCTGGAGCCCAGACAGGATCCTGGGGGCCTGGCCATCTGGAGGCAGGGGGAGCAGCCAGCGTGTGTGGGTACAGCGGGCAGGGCCAGGAGGGGTCCCAAGGCTGCCCTGGGGTGCTGCCCCGCCCGGCCCCCACCTTGGATTCTGTCTCGGGGAAGCAGAGCTCCCTCTCCTTGAGGCCTCGGCAGGTGGAGCTGGGTCTCCTGGTCCTGGGCTGGAGCAGCCTTTTAGGACACCGGCTACGAGTTTTCTGCTGATAGTTTAGAAAGATCTGCTGCAGCCGGAATGATGAAA